ATAGGTTTGGTTCGCCGTACAAATTTGTTTGGTGTGCTACAAACAATTTGTGAAGATCATTGTATCCTGGGAGATAGACGCCGCTCAACCGTAAGTACCGTAGCGGGGCGAATCTGTCTTAAGGACAGAGTGTCACACACTGGACTTGGTCTTTAATTATTTATTCGGTTCAACGAAATAAATTCTATAAGATTTATTTATTTTTGTTTTTTTATTTCTAGTTATTTTATTTACACAGAAGATTGTTCCAACAGGGCACACCAAAGCACACTGTTGGGGTCCAGTCCTCTCTCCCAACTGCAGAAAAGCTGGACCCCCTAACCAAATTGCGCCTGTGCTGCCCTTCTGAAATTAATAACAATAAATACACCATCCTACATCGGAAGTTGTTCAAATATTTGCGATATTACTGTAGTTCATGCATTCAACGATTCTACAGAATTCACATATATCATTTAAGATGGCCTACATTTATATTCTCTACTTAAATGTAGAATTTAGAGAGAGTACTATCAAGTGGTGGAAGGCAAAATGTGAGAAAGTAAAATCTTTAAACATATATGCCTATATATGTGCATATTAAACAAAAAATTAAAATTAAAACAACTATCTAACTAGTTGTTATTATAATGTGTCCCATACCAGAATTTATCAAGGAGAGCAGCAGGAACATAGAACATCGTCTCGGCTAAGACACCACACTCTCCTCCTGAATCCATGTTCCCATAGAAGGAACTTGTTCCCGGCCAATCATGCTCATGATTACCGCTACACAGATAAATCATCAACCAACACAATATATGCTCCACCAAAATCATCCAGTTCAGTATTTATATGCTCTAACAATTTTTGCAAAAAGTTCCAACAAACCTCACAACCATGTAAGGCACAGTTGAGGCAATTGGCTCAATTTGTGCAGTAAATTGATCCCACTGCGAAAGATAGCCATTTGCATAGCAAATACCTCCAATGTGAAACACTATATCTATGTTCTCCAAGTCTCTAATGAGTTTCTTAGTAGTGTTAAGAGAGCCCTGCTGGAAATTATTATATTCATTAGAGCCATCAGCCTTATCCTGCAAGGTGGAAAATGAAAAAGAATACTTTAAAACTGCAGCTAAGTATTAGCACTTGTTAGTAAACTTAAAGCCTGGACATTAAGTACTTTTACACACAAAGAAACATATAACTATTTTGGGTAAATTACACTTTGCCCCCTTAAGTTTGATACAGAGCATAAGAAGCTCAAGGAAGACTAGATTCAAAGAAGTGATAATATTTAGACGTTGGCATGATTTCAAAGAGAAATTATTAGGAATCTTATATAATTATGTGTCTAGTATTATTAGTCTTATTTTATGATTATTTTTCTGTTTTCTAGGACTTTTAGATGAAGGGTATTTTAGTAATTTTTATTATTATTGTCATGGATTGTAAGGGGTTGCCCATGGATCGTCTTGTGAGTCAAGTTATTTAATTGGATTTTATTTATATTTCTTATTTGGTCTTGAATTGATTTTGAAAGTCAAAGATATTATAATAGTTTCCTTTTTTGGTTCTAGTTGCTATAAGAAGTTCCAAATTCTATATAAAGCGATAGCTTATACTTCAATAGAGTTGATATTTTATAGAATTTTGAGAGCTTTGAAACTTGTTTGGGTTTGTGTGATGCAACCCTAACCTTAGGTGTGATTTCTATAGAATCGAAGTGTGATACTTAGACCTATCTTTTTCCTGTCCTTTCCCTCTTTTTATTTTCTGCACTTTTAACAGCCTAAAGTACTGTTCACTGTTCACAGCCCCTAAACAGCCCCAAAATTTCATCTTTCATGGTTAAACCATTTATTACCCAAAACAAACCCTACTTGTCCCCTATATTTTTATTGCCATAAAATCCAATTAAAATCAGCCCCCAAAGCCCAGATTTGTTGTTGCCCTAATCATTCTACATCAAAGTTTTAGGGTTTTCCCACTCTCATCCTTAAAATATTTTTTCCCACTTTGGCGCTTAACATTTGAAATTTTTTCCAATTTACTCCCAAAACAAACTTCCATCTAATTTTGGACAGAAAATGCCACGTGGCGCCACGTGGACATCGACAACATGGCATGAAAATGGGTAAATTAAACGTTCCCCCTAAGTTTAAAAGCTTTCCCACTTTGGTTGCCCTTAAAGTATTCCTTCCTCCTACTTTGGCCCTTAATGTTTGTAATTTTTCTCAATCTACTCCCCAAACAAAGTACTGTCCAATTTTGGATGGAAAAATGACACTTTGGTAACTATGTTGCATAAAAAATAAATTATACAAAAATTTAGTTGAGTTCTTTGATTTTTTTTTTAATGTTTTTTTAAAAAAAAAATTATAAACAAGTTTGAAAAAACTCCGCCGGGGTTGCTTAACAACTCCGCTAGTCCCAAGCTCGGATAAAGGAGAAGGATTGTGTGTTAGGTAGTCGACAACCAACACGTAAAAAAGCCATTCGGATCCTTTATGACATGAAGCCTAATACTTTGAATCGATTAAATACTAATTTGTTCCCCTTAAGTGACGCGTTGCGCCTACCTCGGGGTGTTTCGAAAAGTGAGCAAGGGGCGCCGCATCGACGCCTAGGTGCAGTGAAGAATGAACAAAGGTTTTCACCTTTTTTATGGACGAGCGTGGATAAAGCAACTAATCCAAGGTTATAGATTTAGGATAGCCACATGAAATATAAGAACTTTAACTGGTAAGACTATGGAAATTGTGGATATCATGATTAGGAGAAGAATTAGTATAACTTGCGTACAAGAAACTAAGTGGATGGCTGAGAAAACTCGGGAAATAGAGAATACCAGTTTTAAGCTATATTATAGTGGCAAGGATAGACACAAGAATGGGGTAAGAATAATACTTGCCAAGAGTCTTATAAAAAATGTAATTGTTGTCATTAGGAAATGCGATAGGATTATGTCAATTAAACATGTTATTGGTGAGAATATAGTGAACGTTATTAGTGCATATGCCCCCCAAGTAGGATTAGATAATCAGACTAAGAGAGTTTTTTGGGACCGAATGGATGAGGTACTACATGAGATACCCGTAGGAGAAAACCTAGTTATAGGTGGTGATTTCAATGGCCATGTAGGAGTAGATAAACTAGGGTATGAGAGAGTGCATAATGGGTACGGTTTTGGTGATAGAAATGAGGCTGGAGAAAGTATTTTAGATTTTGTGTTGACGTCTGACCTAGTGGTGGCCAATACTATGTATAAGAAGAGAGATGAGCATTTGATAACCTTTAAAAGTGGGTCAATTAGGAGCCAAATATATTACAAATTAGAAGACAAAGGAAGGGAAGCAGTGGCATGAATTACATCTTTTCCTGACACAGAAGAAATGGTACCATAAGCAATTCTAACTTTATCCTGTCCTGAAGAAGGGGTATAAGCGGAGAACAAATCAGAAGACCCAGACATATAGTCGGAAGCACTAGAATCGGTAATCCAAGGAAACAGTTGATGAGATAGGAAAGCACTTGTAGAAGAAGCTAAGTTACCTGAATGGGCAAAGTTACCTGAAGATGAACCAGATGCCTGACGGTCTAACAAGTGGTGAAGAGCAACCTCCAACTCAGAAGTAGAAAACCTAGAGATATCAGCAGATCGATCAGAAGAGGCAGACAGAAGCATAGCAGAACGACGACTCTCCTCATTCTGCATATAAGCAAACGCTTCTTGGAGAGAAGTAAGCACATCCATACCCAGCACACGACTCCTAACAGGATCAAACTCCACATTCAGACCTTCCAAAAACTTGAAGACCCTCACTTGTTCAACAAATTTTTGATACCTAGCAGAATTAATGGGACAGACAGGCTTGTAGCCCTGAAGATGATCAAGTCTCTTCCACCCATTACTAAGGAAAGTAAAATACTAGAGGATAGTCATCTTACCTTGGACGGACCGGTCAATTGAGCGTCACAACTCAAAAGTTTGGGAAAAATTGCCTTTGCGGGAATACTAAGCGGCCACAGCCTCCCAAATATCCTGTGCTGTGTCCATAAACAAGTATCCCTCACCAATCTCCGGAACCATGGAATGTATCAACCAGCCCATGATAAGAGAATTGGTAATCTCCCAATGATCATAACCTGGATCTGTGGAACTGGGAGCCTGAACACGCCCATCAACATATCCCAGCTTCCCTTTGCTCTTCAAAAATATAGTCAAAATCCGCGACCACGCTAGATAATTCTGACCATTAAAGAGAGAGGTGGTGATTTTCTGGCTAGGGTTGAGGGAATCAATCATAGTAGTAAGCAAACCAGGACTCACGCCCTAAGAAGCATGTGAAGTAGTAGACTCACGAGTCAATTCTGCCATGAATACTCTACTAAAGAACCCTCACAACAAACACTGGTTTAATCACAAACCTAGAAGATGGGGGAAGCATACCAAACAGAACAAAAAAAAGTAATTTAAGAGAACATTTTTTTTTTCCTTTGCCAGAAAAAAACAAAGCAGAGAGAAGACAAAATTACATGAGATTGCCGAATAAGGACTTCAACCCAGACCCAAGACAGAGCCAATACAGTCGACTGAGGAGAGAGAGTCGACTGAACCAAAGAGAAGGAAGAATCGACTTGAACCAGAAAGCCGACTGAACCAGAGAGGTCCTGAGTGGCTGTCGGTAGCCTAAGGAGGGTGAAAACCCACCCGACTGAATCTCCAAGCCTGCTGTCGACAGACCTGGGCTGGAAAAAGGGGGGCTCCGACGAGCCCTAGGGTGCTGGCGAAGCCCTAGGCGACTGCAACTAGGCCTGTCGGGGCCCTAGGAGACTGTGACTGGTACTGCCGAAACCCTAAGGGGATGACATTTGCTGTGGTGTGGATTTCGACGGGTGTGGTGATGCGGTGGTGGTGTGGAGGTGGCTGTAGGGTTGTGGCTTCTAGGGTTTTATAGTGGCTTTTATACCATGTTATTTTTTAGAAGAGAAAAGTTAGAGGTATGAGTGGTATCTCATCCCTTTTTATATTAAATCATCACCAGAATTACAGGAGTGCCAAAAGGCATAAAATAAGAATACTGAATATTCAACAAAATAAAATAGGAAATATTCTAACACATTCTAACAGCTACCATATAGTTACATGTTTGGTGTCTTAAATGCCTATATAGGTTTATGGGGTTAGATATTTTAAAAACAATGTCATATTTAGAACTTAGAAATATATGAAATGATATGTTTCAGCATGCATAGTAGAGTTTGTCACATGAGTTCTCAAACCTTTCCCATATCTCCAAAGATCACTACACGTTGTGGAGAGTTTTGACCAGGATAAGGAGACGCCCTAAATTGGTAATGTGGACTCCAAATGTATGTACCATTGAACAATCTATGCCCCAGCCTGTAAGTATATCTGCATAATTGATGTGAAACATATCTGGTGTTAAATTGCAAGTAAAACTGAAGAACTGACAGCAAAACTCCTTGGTAACCGATTGAGTAGCACTTTCTATCTTCAATGCAACTCATCTAGCTAAAAGATATTACAATCTGGATTTAACCTTTCAAGAAAACCATCAATAGGAAAGAAATGGAAAGGAAAGAACGTATGTTAAAAGGTACAACAACTTGGTTGATGTATGAATCTCCAAATTAATAACACATTATATATACCTTTTATGATTTAATCAGGATCATTACATTCAGGACTTCAGGTAGAAAACACATAACTATAAATCTGAGATTCTCTGAGCATTACAGTTGATATGTAAGTTTCAATCATCAATTGAATTAACTCCACGGGTAGAAATGGTGACCTGTTACACTTGGGATAAAAAAATTCAACTTGCTTTCACTTCTATTCATAAAATATAACACATAAAGGTTTCAATTAATAAAGGCGGGAAATTTGGAATTGATTTTAAGAAATGGAAGTAGGAGCAAAGGGTTCACAAAGAGTTGGGTCATGAAAGTACCAAGAGATTTGATGACTCTTGACAGGTTCAAAATATTATCATACGCAAGCATGAGATCTGACATACACTGAATTAGGCCACAACTCCTTCAGAAAACTAGTATGTATGAATCCAGGATCACGCCACCCCACTGTTCTTGCTGGAGCATCTGTATGTAGACGATACAAAATGAATTACCTACCCAATAAGTCAGCTGTGAAATCATTCGGTTAATTTAAACCAAGTTAATAAAGTAAACAAACAAAAAAGGTTCCCTAGAATACCCATTCTGCTTCCCATAAACCAGAAGGAGGTGCTAAATGACCTTTTATGCTGTTATTATATCCGATTTATAGGAACATATAAACGAAAACCACTAAATCCTTTATTTATTTATTTATTTATTTTTATTTTTTTTATTGGTATTGGGGTGTCCAAATCAAAGCCCGACTAATCCCCAAGGGAGTACAAGCCTTCAGCAAGGAGTTTACGCAAGTGCACCATGATTAGTTCAAGGGTTTTTTCCCAATCCGATAGCCCGAAGGAATTGTTAGCACCTAAGAAGTTTCAATCTCTGAACCTTAGGAAGCACACTCCTAAGACCCAAGGCCTTACCACCAGGACAATCCCCTAGGGTTACTAAATCCTTTAAATTTTGGTCATAACAAAACAATGAATATAACATGTACTCAAAATCATTATAATTTTATGGCACTTTTATTCAAATATATGATTTGCAGATACGGACATGGACCAGCATGGAGTTGGTGTTGATGTTTCCATTTTTCGGCTTTTCCAAAAATACCCCTATAGCAGTTACATGGGTAAATATACAGTACATTGGCAGTTATGCCAAAATTCAGGGTTTTTTTTTTTTTTTTTTTTTTTTGTAAAATCTCTCAACTGTTGGTTTTTTCAGATTTATAAAATGTTTTAATTTTCACATTTTGAATTCAATCACACCTTTGTAAAACCTCTCAACTGTTGGTTTTTTCAGATTTATAAAATGTTTTAATTTTCACATTTTGAATTCAATCACACCCATCAAGTGTGCACACTGTTTTTTTGTAATTTTAAAATCTACAATGAGCATTACATTACACATCTAAAAATACTGTTGTTCAATGATATGCATTATAAATATATGAAACAGAGATGTACACCATATAAGGGGCCTGTTTCATAACGTTTATATTTACAAAAATTTTAAAAACTAGAAACAAAACTTCATATTTTAAAACTTGTAAACAATTTACAAAATTTACTATATTTTTGTAATCACAAAAAATTGGTTCACTTGTTTATGAAAAAAGTTTTCATTCCTTCCTCCTCCCATCCCCTCCAGCCACCACCCATTGCTCATCGCCACTTGTCACCACATCCGGCCACCACTAACCACCAGCCACAATCGCCAATGACTTTCTCCGACCACCACATCTCGCAACCGGCAACCATCTTTGGCCATGATCTTCAATCGCCAAATCTGGTGGTTGACTGCCATCTCCAACGATCAGAAATTGGGCCATTACTGCCTGCAACTAGCAATCACATTTGGCAACCGCCGACCATTTCCCACCATTGGTGAGTAGAAACCAACCCTGGCAACCAATAACCACCTCTTAGCACAATCTCTGACCGTTGACAACCATCTTCGGCCACCACCTCCCACCAGTCACCCCTTTCACTTGTTTTTAAAACATGTGTATACCAAACATATTTTTTGTTTTAGTTTTAGTTTTAATCAAATCTTTAAAAATAAAAATAAAACTAAAATTTTCTTTTTTGGGCACAACATAGCATTTAGTATGTTAGTAGAGTTAGCTTACAATGCAAGCCAACGTCTCTCCATAAACTCGAACTTGAAATCTCACTCTTGAGACTTAAGTTGCCTTTCCGTGACCACTTGGGCCATTACATGGGCTCCAAAAAAAAAAAAAAAGATATTCATATTGTTCATTTATCTCTTTTTTTATTTTTTATTTTTTTTTTGGATTTGTTGAGGTCAAACTATTCCATTTGACATCCAACTTTTGAAAATTTTGTGAAAACATGTTACCCAAATAAGTTTGATTTATAGTAAAAAATTCATACACTTCAATCCATAACCAAGTATAGCTTACAAGAAAAATTAAAAAAAAAAAAGTATTACGCACCGCACATGCTGTTGCGGTCAAAAGTCAATGTTCCAGCTGGGGATTGCCTTTGTTCTCTTCCTTGTGGACCCCATTCAACAAAAGGCTCTGCTTCATTGATTCCATATCCACTTGTCCAAGTCACAGTCATCTGAGTATATTAAAAGAGCATCATTTTCTCAAGAAAATGCGAGCCTGATATAAAGAGGACAAACTATGAAGCACAGATACTTTGACAAACATGCCGCTATACCCATACCGGATACTTCTGGCGTGTGATATTAGTATGATACTACTGCATACGTATCGAGTACACGAAACACATATTCAAATTTTTTCTTCTTAATTTTTGGCTTACCCAAATGTACCTAGTATACCATACTTCAATTGAAACAATATTTTCTTCTACTACAAAGATAAAATTGCTTCCACTAGACTTTTTTATTATTTTTAGTGTAATGCTTAGCATGATTTTAAAATTAAGCTATGGTTTGTAACTTATTTAATATGATGACATTTAATTTTGATTTATACCTTTACTTTTAGCATTAAATGTTAATTGTAGGTTGGATGTTAACATATTAAACCATTTAATCAAATTTTGCATTACTCCAAATTAAAAATAAATATTTTTTTACAAACTTTCCAAACCATACCCGTACACTTTTTTTGGATTTGATCGTATCGACGTACCCATATCGTACTACCCGTACCCATGCTTTATAGATAACAAATAACCTTAAAGAGTGTCCTAGGCATGTATTAGCAAGGCACAATTCTGCCAACCATTGAATTTTTTTTGTTTTAGAAGAGGTGGGATCAATGATCTGTTGGATGAATGGTATGGGTTGGCTCTCACACACCTCAGAACTCAAGAATTCAACCATGGGAATAGATTAAAAAAGTTACTGTTTGACGCAATACTTAAAACACATTGAAAACAGGGAGGAAGGATGTTTGGCAAACTGTTTTCGGGAAAATTTCCTAATAACACCGCCATTATGGAAACATTTTAAAACTGTTTTCTAAATTTTCAAAATTGTTTTCACAAGAAGTTGAAAAACAAATAGGAAAATGATTAGTGTTTTCGAACTTTTCATCGATTTTTTCCAAAAGACAAGAAAAATAAAAACATTGAAAATGAAATCGATACCAAACAAACGCTTAGCTATCTGATATATATTCTCCCTTACTTTCATTAAGTATCATATAAAAACCCTAGGGACTAAACTAACAGCAAAAGTAGACTTACCTCATTCCACATCTTTCCTTGTGCCAAACGCGGGTAAACTGGTGAGTTTGGATTTGCAAAAGTAATTGTATTTGACACTGCCACCAGCTTCGGCTGTTTCATAAAGAAGCTAGCAGAATTAAATTGTACCAGAGGTCACAAATGGCTAGCATGCAAGAGGAAACATAATTTTCATAAAAGAATCAAATAAGAGAGAAAAAGACTCTAGAAAAAATAAATAAAAAAGGAATAGTATATATGAATAAAAGACAAAGAGTTAGTTTGCCATAGATAATCATAACAAACAATGAATTGAGTAGCTCCCATCTTAGATACAAGGAAATGCGGCATCATCACTCTCCCTATTGTTCTTGGAGAAATGAGACCAAAAGATAAAACACTTATTCTGAATCAACTATACATAATTTTCAATTGGAAAACTTTAGTTCAAGCAACTTGAGAGACGACCTAAAAAAAAATCTTTTAAAAAACACACATTGAATTGAGTTGTGAAGATTTTCCAAAAATTTTCCAGTTTGGGAGAAGTTTGGCAACCTTTAGAATCCATCTGGTGGCAGTTAAAAGTAAATAAAATAAAAAATAAAAAAACCCTTAAAATATTTAAAAAAATTCACTAAAACAGAAAAAAGGAAAAACAAAAAACTCAATTTTCGAAAATATAATTCAGGAAATTGAAACCAAACAAGGTGAATTATCAAACAGTTTGTGGCCAACTAACCAATCAACTAAAAAAACGTCGAACATAACAATTAACAAGTCAACAAGTAAAACTGAGGGCTTCTCTATCCTTGCCGCATTTGTGAAAACTTTAACAGCCAATAGAACCATGCAGATTTCAGGGTAATGGTGAGCAAGGCAAACATACATTTGATAATCCGCCTGAAAATAGAACAAAAGAGAAGTCCGATCTTTGCTTGATCAATTGAAGCTTCAGCATCCCTTTTCCATTGTCTTTATACTTGGGATTGGTATAATTTGCATATTGATACTGCACAAGAAGTGATATAGTGAATTTCAAATTTTGTAGCCACTTTTGTTGAGTTAAACAGGATGGCAGCAGCCTAAGAATCCATAGAAGAATTTCATAGAAAAGCAGCACGGCACAAAACCTTAATAGGTGCCGTGCACAAGAACGGAGGACCAGTTCTTGGATTTTCCGGAAGACAGGTGGAAGCACTGAAAGCATGAAATACAAATATTTCCTTTGAGATCACATTAAATTTAAAAATAAATAATGAAATAAATAAATTATAACATACAAAGGCATTCAATTTACCTGAAATTGGCAGGAGAAAATACACCAACCCAGTCACCAATTGATGGGTTTGGAATGCTATATTCTAAAGTCACCCATTCAGTGTTTTGGCCCTAGAACAGAGAAGAATCATCTTATTAGTATAAAATTAGCCCCTCTTTTTTTCTTTTTCTTTTTTCTAGCTTTCTTTGTGTGAACCTTGCATCCAATAGTCCTAGGTAGAAAATGAAAATTCAGGATCTATAAAAAAATTTAACCACTGTGAATTAGGAAAAAGAGGCACAATAAGTGCATCACTAGAAAAATGTATTGCAACCATGTCTTTCTTTCTCCATCAGTGAACTAAACTTTGACGAATGAAGTCTATCAATGGCAAAAGCACGGTCATCTGAAGTCTGTCAGAGGGCATTGGAAGCTTACTCCTAATCCAAGAATTGAAGGCGAGGCTTTAACAAAAGCCCGATCCTCTGGAGCAACTACTGCTCTATCAATAGCAATTCTAGAAAGAGGCTGATCTCGATTAGAAGCTGCACCTTCAAGGCTCACCAATGCCCAGGAAATTGCCAAGAAAATCCACCCAGAAAGTCTCATCTCACCCAATATCTGAATACAATTTGAAAAGAGCTGCTTAAGAACCATTATCCATTTTTTGATAAGTAAATTAAGAACAGTATTCATAGGAACGCAAATGGAGAGTAAAAAAGCTACTACCAGCTCTCATAACATATCAGAACGAATCAAAATCCGAACTTGCATTGCCATTAAACGCCAGTTATAATACAAACCAGTACTCTAAATTTGAAATTTTTCTTAGTCCAAACATTTTAGGTCTAAGATCTCTCTGGTCCGAAAAAATATAAAATAAAATAAAAAGGTAAATTACCCACAAAATTAGAAACCAATGATGTCCATCGTTGGGAATCTTAGTGCAAAGCATTGCCAATCACCCACAAAATTATCCAAAAATCAGAAACCACATTGCATAGACATACACATATGTATACACACAAAAATAAAAGAAACCTTGGTTGTATACATAAAAATAAAAGAAACCTTGGTTAACAAAGTGATCAACACAAGTCCAAATGAACTGAAGATTACCAAATGTGTGTCTCTATGAACTGAAATGAGCTCACGAAACAGTATTCAAGGGGAGAGACAGAGAGAGAGGGCATCGAACTGACCTATATAGGAAAGTTGGGATGAGAGAAAAGGGACGATTTGTACTACGAGGAAGGCTCGTGATGTTGCTCTTCGAAAATCAGCAAATTATAGGAAAGGAAGTGACGGTACTTTGGAATTAGCAAATTACTTTCACCACGTTAGAGTAACTTTGACTATACTCAAGTTTTTTTTATTATTATTTTGCTTAATTAATTTTTTTATCTATATACTTTAAAATTATTTTTTATTTTATCTATTCATACAAAATATAAATATATATATATATATATATTTAAAAAGTCTCTTGATACTCTTCAAATGCAACTAATTCTAAAACTTTTTGTTAATATAATAATTGAAACAACTAACTCATTGAAGTGACTAAAGTATGATAATATTAGCTATTAAGAGGTTGTTTGGGGTGTTATAAATAAGTGCACTTTTTGTCTTTTTGAACTAAAAAATTGAGGAAGAAAATATCGATGTTTGAGTTAACTTTTTGACTTTTTATGGAAAAATGTATAATAAAAAATTGTAAAAATTGGTTTGTAAGAGAAAATTAGAATTGAGAGTTGTGCAGTCGTAATTGTTGACTTTTGGTAAATAGTATTAACTTTTCAACTTTTTTTTTAACTTTTTGACTTTTTAACTTATTCTGGACTTGCCAAACTTGGCCTAAGTGAGAATTTTCTACACAATTTTGAATCAATTTTTTCATAGGGAATGGCTTCGATCCAGTCCTTAATCGGATTGGATTGTGCTGTTGGGCCCGTAGAGGCCCACCACAGGTCCCGTTTTGATAATCTGAACCGTTTAATGTATAGAACTCGTCGAGTATTATATGTCTATAAAAAATCACGTTGATCGGATATCGATAGCTATGTGATCAAAACAGATTTTTGTCAACCGTTAATTTATTCAACGTCCATTTTTTTATACAAAACTGATTTGATCACATAGCTATCGATATCCGATTAACGTGATTTTTTTCAGACATATAGTACTTGACGAGTTCTACACATTCAACGGTTCAGATTATCAAAACGGGACCTGTGATGGGCCCCCATGAGCCCAACGGCACGGTCCAGTCCGATTAGGGACTGGATAGAAGCAATGCCCTTTTTCATATCCTAGTTAACTTATACACATTTTGACTAATTTCGGGATCTCAAAGTCCATGACTTTGAATCAAATACCAATACCTCACTTAATTACTCTAAATTTATCTCCAGTTAGAATGTGTAGTTGGAATTAAATTTATCTAGTGTAGGATTTATGTATAAAATAAATTTGAATCATAAAATAATAATTATGAATAATTTTAGAGTAGCTAAGTCTGAATTTATAATATTACTACATATGAAGTTGAGTTTTTTTTTTTTTTTTAAACATTCTAAAATGTGAAACTCTTTATGAAATTAACCCACTTTTGAAACTATTTATTAAACTAACCGTTTTTATGAAATCGCAGGTTCAAGTTCCAATTTCAAGATATGAAAGTAGATCTTCAACCTGTAATTTCATGTTGACATGTCCCCTTAGTGGTTGTTGACAAATGGCATAGAAAAATTATATCTTGAAGTTGCGATGTGATTTCAAATTTGCAACTACAAGTTGCAATTGTATAATGAAATCAGATTTCGAAGATGCATTTAAGGAAAAAATTGATTGTGAAAATTGTATGAACAGTGAAAATACATTTCATTTTACGTTATTCAATTTTATTGTGAACCTATTATTAGCAAAATTTAGACCCATGGAAGAGAGTAACATTTCAATCCTGTCTTTTAGATTTTTATGTGAGATCCTTAACTTTTGTAAGCTCTGTTAAAACTCTAGCTCTTGAATTAATACAATAAAATTTTAATGGTTTACTTGAGATTAAAACCCTAATTCTTGGTTATCACGGTTTTCATCAAATTATTCACATTTCTTTTCAAAGAGTTGTAGTGCAACCCGAATCACCTTTTCTATCTTTTTTTTATATAATTAATTCTATATTTGAAATAGGTGTTTTAGTCCATAAATTTAGCTCATGCCCTCATGTTCCATTATTATTGCATTTAAATCCTAAACTCACTACTTTTGTACATATTTGTACATCCTATTGTTATATCAATTATGAATATAATTGTACCCAAAAAAAAAAGATAAAAACCCTAGGTCAAAGGATCACACGGGGAGTCACCCCCCTTGGAGAGATTTATGGTGTACTTTAGAACAAGATTCATGGATTTAAGGAAAAAGTAAGCCTAGTACCCCCAAAACTTAGAGATTTGTTTGTACCAACCCATCCATCTAGTTCTATTTCAACCAAATGAGATTTAGGCCTCGTTTGGGAACAGGCTAATTTAGTAACTTTTTGGCTATTTGGCTAAAAAGGTAGGTAAAAAAAACTTGTATGTTTGGGATGACTTTTTGGCTAATTACGAAAATATGTGCAAAAAGTAGAGAGAAAAGAGAATCTTTGACTTTTTGGTATGGGTTGTTGGCTTTTTGGCTAATTTAGTAACTTTTTGCCTAATTGACTAAAATAGCCTCTTGCCAAACGAGGCCTTAAGCCATGATTAATCTTCTTAATCAACCTCCATTTCATTTCAAATTCATCATCTTTAAGCTATTATCTTGTGTTTAATCTCAAATTCTTCTTAAATTCATATGCTACGTGACTTCAATTCATGAATTAAGGATCAAACTCTTAACTAGAGTCTTGTAATTAGCTTGTTTTAACAAAATCATGAGTTCTTCTTCTCAATTCTCATATTCTCTAGCCAAATTCCAAGTTCTCAAGTTGTCCCCCTCTATACAAGAATAAACTCTCTCTCAGGATGAACTCTCTCTTTCTCTCTCTCTCTACACTTTCTAGCAGATTTTTGTATGTAACTCATGTGATTAGCTTCAAACATAACATATATATAGCCTAGATTAGTTTATGGTGCTAATTAGATGTTAGATTAATTAATTAGAATTAAGGTTAATTAAGCAAAACTTAATTTACTATGTAACTCTCCAAATTTCTATCACAAATGATAATACAACAATCATGGCTCCTTCAAGGAAAACCGAATATAAATCTTTAAACTTACATTACATGATACAATAGTCCTTTATGCAACAATACATTAATCCGACAACAAGTAAATAAATAAATAAATACCCCCAAGGGTTTACAAGTTTCCAAGGCTTGAGCCTGGTTGCACAAAACAGTTATTCAAACCCACACACATACTGCCATTGGCTTACACACAGAGTCACAGCAAAATGAGAGCATTGTACTCCCAACACACATACTTCCACGCCCCTAGTTAGGTGGGATCACCACATCTTTTCCTACACAAAAATCCCGTAGGGTGAGCATAAAACCCAGTAGGAAATTCTTAACAAAGTATATACATTTTATACAAGTCTCAAGAGATGAAATGCACATGCCATGCTATGTCCTTTTTGAAGATAAATCACATTTTCATCTTTTGAAAACCATCATGCTCAATGATATCATGCAATTTTAACTGTTCAAAACTTAACAATTTATTTCAAGGGCGGTAAATACGACTCTAGTAATCCCTAGGTCGGGGTCTGCAAGTAGACTATACAAGTACTACCAATTTGTCATTTTTACCGGTATTAACCAGAAGGCTCGACACCAATCCACGCAGGTTTTCAGTCTTTCACCCCGGACTCTCAGGCCAACTTATTCAATATCATCTGCACCACCTATCAAGACTTACCAACGTATTTATCCCAAAACCATTTCATGAAAACCTGCTTCTCAACATTCTTTTCTCAATGCAAATTTTCAAATCAACTTTCAAAATTTAATGTAATCAAATGAATTGATATGCCAAGGTTTTGATCTAATTTGGCGTAGGGAAATGTAGAGAGAAGGGAGATGAAAGGGTTTTTAGAGAGAGAGATATACAAAAGTGATCTGAAAATGATATTCCCATATAGGATGAGCCACAACCTAGTAGAAATACACTAAACCAAATATGAACAATGACTAAAAGATTAGCAATTGATAGATGGCCAACACTGATACTTTCCCTTATCACACTTTACGGTTTCATGACATACAAGTCCATGTTACAATCCATTTTCAAATTCTTTTCAATTCTCAATTTATAACCATAGCTCAGAACCTGGCCAAACAACTTATATGAGACAGCAACTCATATTAAGCCCTTTCTCATTTCATAATAGATAAGCATACTAGCTATATCACACACCAACAGATAAGCATACAAGCTATATCATCACTTCCATAGATATGCATAAGAGCACTATCACACTTCCAAAGACAAGCATATAAGCTATGTCAACACATTACTAGATAGGCATACGAGCTCTATCTATGGAGTCCATCCCCTATCTCCTCCCAACAACATCCGGTTTAGAGGTCCATCCCCTATCTTCCCCTAAACCATAGAGTACATCCCCTATCTCCTCCAACACAACACAATGCATATAAACAATAATTATACACATCATCACAGAACACATAAATTTAATGTATTCTTTCAACCGTCATACTCAATGACACATTCTAGTGATTAGTTTCAGTTTGCCTAATCATCATGCATTGTCTACAACAATCAAGACTATCCTCCACTGATAGCCCAAAGCAGTTATTTCTATACAGAAAATAAATGCAACAATGGATATAAAATCAACATTTCAACTAGGTGAGCGATAAACAATCCAACTACACCCTTTAATCCTATACCTTTCCAAATCAATTCTTCATTTCTCATAATTAATTATACAAATTAATTAACCAATGTAATTAGGGCATTTTCCATAATTAGCATTACAATCCTTAGGTTCCATTTTCATTAATGTTTTAACATTAATTTCACTTTTCCAAGCCAAACATGCATCTAGGTTTTATATAGCTAAAACCCCAATTTCTGTAAATTTACATAAAAGCCCCAAACTTTCACAAATTACCAAACTAACCCCAACATCTCAAAATACTAA